TCCTGGATGAAAGACTAGACCCCAGTTTTCAGATTCCCAGTTCAGCAGTCTTTCCTGTAACCCCACACCAAGCTTTCCATAGTGCAGCTAAAACAGAATTAACACAAATTGAGTGACTGCTACCTGCCAGACTACATTAGATATTTATACAGATTACTTCCTCCAACGACAGAACATGCATTATAATCCCTATTTCAGGTGAGAAAACATTCAGAAAGGGTAAAGGCTTACGTGTTGTTATGGTGCTGAACAGTTTAGGTGTTCCAGACTAAGCATAAAAACCTGGTGATCTACTTCAAAAATCAGCCAACAAAAACCCTACGGATCATAATGGTCAGATCTCATTGTGCATTGGGTCATCATGAGTTGGGGGCCAATTCCATGACAGCTAACAACACAACACCTCCACTAGCTTTTTCTGACTCCAGAGTTCACCATGCTGTGCATCCAAGTATACTGGATAGACCTCTTCTTTGCCATAAAATACTCCCTTCAAAGACTGGCCTCCAAGGATCTTCAGTGTGACATAGGTTGTAACTATCTCTAAATCCTGGCTGAATGCAGACGTTTCTGTAGGAAGGAACACATTCTTGGGCTGGAACCTGCCATGAACTATTTGTAGGCATTAGTTTGTTAGACATTGGCTCTCACCTTGGGAACAGAGAGCAAAGGGAGTTGCTTAATGTAAGACACAAAGGAGTTTTAGTAGGAGGAGAGGAAAGAAGACCTTGGCTTAATCTTTTCCAATATGAAAACCATTTTTTAAAACATTCCTGCCACCTCTATGATGTTGTTGTTCAGTACTATTAAGTCCATTTTTGACTCACAGCAACCCACACATGACAGAATAGAGCTGCTCAATAGGGTAATCTTTACTGAAGCAGATCACTGGGTAATTATCCTGTGTGGAGTGGCTGAGTGAGTTCAAACTGCCAACTTTTCAGTTAGCAGCCAAGTGCCAATAGGTCTCCCTGTCTCTATGACAGGTACCTGGTACAGTTATGCAGTATGTTTGTATCATATTCATATCACCAGGTCTTTATGCTTAGTTGGAACAGCTAAACCTGTTCAGCACCATAGCAACACATAAGCCTTTACCCTTTCTGAATGTTTTCTCACCTGAAATGGGGATTATAATGCATGTTCTGTCTGTCATTGGTAGAAGTAATCTGTATAAATATCTAATGTGATATTGGTGAAACACATAATGAATAGAATTTATTAATTTGATTTGTGAATTAGTGGCACTTTTAGTTGAATTTTTATTTTTAGTAAACAACAGGATTTGCTGACATTTAATAACCTGCATTATCAGGTACATATAAAGGTGTTGGTGCATAAGTTGCTACTAACCCTTCCATGAACTCCCAAGAGTTCAGGACTCACACACAGGTAAGCAAATAAGTTGGTGTGTCCCAGGGAAGGCTCCAATGAAGAAGCGTAGGAGCAAAGAATGGAGAAGTGGGACCACATTTCACATACTTCGTATTTTGCTTAAGACCAGCCCTGTAGCCTTTTTTCCCCAATGGTTAATATAAAAATTAATTATTATAAATTTATACTGACATTTGGACAAGGTAACTATAGAACACAGCCACTTCCTATGGGAAGGGATTCAGAAGGGAGAAGAGAGATGTGATAAAGAGTAACTTATTTTGTCATAGTATTGACATCATAATTTCATTTCAGAATTTCAGTTCTGTAGGATTTTTTGACTGCTAACCAGAAGGCTGGTGGTTCAAACCCAACAGCCACTCCTTGGAAGGAAGGTTGGGCAATCTACTTCCGTAGTGATACCGCCTCGGAAACTCACAGAGGGGTCGCTATGAGTTGGGTCCAACTTGACAACACATAACAACAACAACAACAAAGATTTGTTTGTTTGAAAAATGTATATTCTGGGCAGTTTCATTTGATAAAATAAAAGCAATTGTGATGTAATACTGTACAGGTTTTGTTTGCTTTCAAAATATGCAAAGGTCTTATGAGCTATAAAACTATTTCAAAGTAAAAAAGAGAAGAGGGACACAGCATTACAGAAGAAATGTATCTCATACTGATGGAAAACTTACTTGCCTAAATGAACACACACACACAATAAAAGCTTTGGTTTCTAGATTTGATCTGGATTGAATGAAAAGGGAGGCAGGTAACAAAGAAAATGGGACATGACCATGTTTTGTGTGACAAATACACAGTCACAACCACAATTTAAGATACTACCCTATCACTGCTTCCCAAAAGGGACTCATTTAAACATCATCACTACTACTTCAAATGCAGCTGAAGTCTAAGGCTGAGAAAGCACCTCATAAATCCATGATATAATACTGAAGGTCAAACTTAGATTCTTTCAACAATAAAAGTGGAAGAAAAAAGAAAGTCAAACCCACAGAGTAAATATGCAAAGCATCTGTTATAAATAAATGAAAGGTATTAAAGTATTTCCAGTTTATAGGAGTCCCCAGAAAGTACAAACAGCATTCAACTACTAATAGAAAGGCTGGCTGTTCAAATCCACTATGTCAATCCATCTTGTTGAGGGCCTTCCCCTCTTTTGTTGACCCTCCACTTTACCAAGCGTGACATCCTTCTCCAGAGAAAAATACCTTCTGACAACATGACCAACATGCCTCTCTCTATTAGTTACCATCAAGTCAATTCTGACTCATGGCAACCCCATGTGTGCAGAAAAGAACTGTGCTCCACAGGGCTGTCAAGACTATGACCCTTAGGAAGCAGAGGCATCTCAGAAGAAAGACCTGCAGATCTACTTCTGAAAAACTGGCCATTGAAAACCCAGTGGAATGCAGGCCTACTCTGCAAACATGGGCTCACATGAGTTGAAATCAGCTCAAGAGTAACTGGTTTGCAGTAGGAGTGTCACCTTTCATCACCAGCCTCACGACACTTCAACAT